AACAGATAGATAGATAGATAGATAGATAGATAGATAGATAGATAGATAGATAGATAGATAGATAGATAGATAGATAGATAGATAGATAGATAGATAGCATTGGTATAGCGCAAATTCCCTGTCAACAGCAAGCTTTATAATATGCGCTTTACCATCCATTACTATTACCCAAGCAGACCTGATTGCATCCTGAAACCATCTCAACTGCCTTGGAAACATACAGTGCAAGCTGCCATTTACGAAAGGAAGAGGCCACCGAGGTACGTCTTGTAAATTAAAGACTCGTCATGAGCTCAAAATGCAGCTGAGTCGACTGTCTTTCCGTGTAGGAGGAATCAGCCATTAATGGTGCTGAATAACGACAGATCTGTGACGGAAAAACGTTTTAAAAAACCCTAGTAAAAGAACAACAAACAGAAAACCGGCTAAAAAATAAAAGTACAAAAAGTGACTATCAGCTGCTCTGGGTCGTCTGTGGCAGACTCGGTGAAAGCCGTCTACTAAAACCTGTACGGGGGTCTAGAGGTTAAGGTGTTCGCCTTTCATTCATTAGGTCCCGGGTTCGAATTCGGGTAGTGACGGAAAAAATGTTCTCCTCTAAAATTTGCTACCAACTGAACTGAAAATGTTTAATGTGTCCCGCGCGCTCATATGACCTTAAGCAGTAAAAATTGCGAGCGCCGTAAAACACTTACAAAAAAATTATTCTCTAAAATTTTCTCCTTTCACATCCTTTCCTGCACTCTGACAACGTTCTGTCGTCTTCTTTCGTCTCCACTTTCTGTCCCCACCCCCCTCACCTCCTTCGCCCCCTCCTCTGGGCTCCTGGTTCTTTCTGCAGCCTTTCTACTGCTACTCCTTGGCTCTTTCTTACTGTTGTCTTTCTGCCACATCCCTGCTCTATTAGTAGGAAAGATCTACACCTAGCCTCCTCGGACAAGGGTGAAAAATCTCGGAGGTCCCGTGTGCAAGTTGCACACGTTAAAGATCACTTGGTCGTCCAAAATCGATAAGACAAGGCTTCGGTCGCCACCCGGGCAAAATTCAAAATTTCCTACCAACTGAAAATGTTTAATGTGTCCCGGGCACTCACATGACCTTATGCAGTTCGCAACGCCAAGTTTTCATTATATTCATACGATTCAGAGTCGGACCAGTAAGTAATGTGCAGGAATGGTTTAACGCCCCTATTACCAATGAGTCGATGGGGGTGTTAAACATTCACGGTTATTTTACAATTACAAATGGGGGGAAAGGGCAGGGGGGGGGAGAGAGGGGTGGACGTGCTGATTAAATTTTGATACCCTTTTCCCCACCCTTCACCGGCTATTGCTAGAGATCACGTGACTGAGGAAATTCTCTTGTTTTCATGTTTCCAAGTGACCCTCCAAACTGTTTCAACTTTGCATTTCGGAAACCGAATGATATTTTTCAAAAACAAGGATAACATTTGGAAAAAGGTAAAATTTAGACAATCTGCAGTCTTGTAGCTTTCAATTAAAAGCGTTTAAATGTTGTTGTTTTTAATGTTGTCCCTTTATCACCAATTGTACATCGTAGAACTCTGGTCCATTTAAATATTTATCCATTTGCGGAGGAGGATGCGCTAATGGACGGGACAATTCACCTTGTCCACACCTCGGTACACGGCTACTGAATGTGTCCTTGACCTGCGCAAAATGAGATTCATCTGTAAACAATTTCGGCAAATATTGATCATCTGCAATTCTGCAATAGAAAAGGAGTGTGTCGAGTGTCATCAGAAGTGGGAAATTGGTAGAGAAGTATCTCTGTCAACAGGCACCGCACGATGCTCTCCTCCGTCCACCAGTCTTTGGAGCTTTTTTTGGTAGATTCTAAGTGTTTTACGGCCCACCGCAGTTGCACAAGGTCATGTGAGCACACATTGAACATTTTCTGTTGGTAGGGAATTTTGAATTTTTCCCTGGGTGTCGGCCGAAGCCGACTCTTGTCGATTTTGGACCAACAAGGGATCTTTAACGTGTGCAATTTACACCCGGGACCTGCGAGATTTTTCGCTCTTGTCTGAGAAGGATAGGTGGCGATCTTTCCTACCAGAAAAGGAGTCAAGGAGTAGCAGTAGAAAGGCTGTAGAAAGAGTCAGGAGCAGAAAGTGGAGACGAAAGCAGGCAACAGGACATTGTTAGAGAGCAGGAAAGGATGTGAACGGAGAAAAGTTTTAGAGAAGAAAATTCTCCGCCGTTTTCCGGATTTGAACCAGGGACCTTTTGATTGAGAGGCGAACACCGGACATCGTCTAAGCTACGAGAGCCCCCTCTTTGGAGCTACCATTGGGAAAGACGAAACACCGGTGTGTGTGTGTGTGTGTGTGTGTGTGTGTGTGTGTGTGTGTGTATGTGTTTGTGTGTATATGTGTGTGTATGTGTGTGTGTGTG